TTAAGGATTTTTTGTGAGGAACAACTTTTTGTGAAATAGTAAAATGCTAAAAATGAGCAGAAGTGCCAGAAAACTGGCTTTAACTGTATACAGGCTGATTATTATATGAAAAAGGTTAAAAAAAATAAGAAAAGGTTTAGGGAAAGAAAATTAAGAGAGAAGAAGAGGATTGCATTTTGGTGTGAAGAAAATGAGAGGTGAGGAGGGGTATTTATAGTGTTTAGGGAGTATGGAATTAGGGTTTTATGAATAGTAAAAGATAGAATTAAAAGTGTGAAAAGAAATAAGATTATCATTGATTTTTTTTTTAAAGATAATTAGGAAAATACAATAGGTTTTTATTTTTCTTATTTTTAATTTTATAATTTAAGGTGTGAAAAGATAGATGTAATACTCCATTTTATAATATTTTTATTTATATAAATTAATTGTTTTATTTATATTTATAAATTAAAATGATTCATTTCATTTTAAAAGAAATCAATTATTTAAATATTATGTAAGTGTGCATAAAATAATATGGGTCATTAATTAAGGCAATAAAAGTGTTTTGAATTGGGTCATCTTTATTTTAATAGTTGGATCAACTTCTTGGGGAGTTGAGGACACTTAAAATCCCAACAAGTTGGCCCCAAAGGAAAAAGTCAAGGGGGAGTAGGATTTAGTAATGACAGTTTTGTAATTATGAGTTTTTGATTCTGCTGTGACACGACAATTTTTAGGTTTAATTCTTTCGCGACGCTTCAATTCTAGGGTTTAGTGCTTCAACCTTCATATATTCTCTATAAATACGAGGCTGATTTCTCAGTTTTGGGGCACCAAACAATTCTCTCTTTCCCTCTTATACACCAAAACATTCCCTCTTTCTCTCTTATGCTCTAGCCTAACACTAGCCTTCCCTATTCTTCAACAATACATCCTTTAAGCACTCCCCGGAGTCCATACAACACCGAAGTTCTTATATTTAAACCAAGGCATGAAAGGAAGAAGCAACTGAGGGTTTGGCTCCAAATCAACTCTACTTTTTTTTTTTTAATTTAATTTCAATTTGATTTTATACTTTTATTGAAGTTACTAACAATTTATTCATGATGTAGCAATTCAAAGAAACGCCGAACGTGAGTAATAAATTCACTTAATTACTCTTATTATTATTCTTATTGCTAGTATCATGATTAGGGTTATTATTATGATTTGATTTGACTAACGTTATTATGGCTAAACTGCTTCCAATGTTAATGATGATTTTATTATGTTTATTGATCACCACATTGCATGTTTAAAGGGAATATGTAATTGAATATAACGCCTAATAAGATAATTTGGACGACCGGTTTAGGTTCCTTTTTAATCTTGTTATTAATTGAAGTAATCACAATATTTTAGAATTATATGTTGCATTAATATTCAACCAATTTAACCTAATATTAGTTACGTTTAGGGCAAATTGAATCTTTGTTTGCATGCCTTTGAGATCGCAAGAATACTTTTCGCAGTAAGATCGAGTAGTGGCCAATACGGGCGAACGTGACTCCATGACTCACTTTGTACCATCATCCCTGATCGTTCTTTCGTGGTTCCAAACCATACGGAATTAGTAATCTCATGGATTATGAATGGGGTTAACCTTCATAGGTCAATCGTTGTTTCCTATCGTTGTCCCTTTTCGTGGTTGCCTTTTATGATCCGTGAATGGTTTACAAGTTCCTTAAAAACTTGTTGGCGGCTCCCTACATTATTTGTCCATAATTGTTGTCCCTAATCGTATATGTCAATTCCCACTTCCTAAGAGTGGCAAGCGTAATCAGAACATGCTTAACTAGGCACGCTTCGAATGACATCTACAATTTGGCGACTCCATTGGGGAGCATTCTTGGTTATTTATCAATTTGAGTGATCGGTATTTAATTGAGATGAGTGGATGAGACTTGAAAGATTCTTGAATCGTAATCCTGTGGTTAATTTGGCATTTTTTGCATATGCATTGACCTTTTAACGTCATATTTAGGTTTGCCTCGTAGGAAAAATCGAATAACCTAATCGAGAACGAAAAAACAGAGGCACTGGTCATATTTCTAGATTGTCGCGCCACGCAAAATTTCCATGTCACGGCACAGGTCATCGTCACGCGACAATTTGTACCGTGACACGGTATTTCTTACCGTGTCGCGGCAGTCCTGAAATCCTTCCAATGGCTCTGTATTTTTCTCGTTATTAGCTTCCTTCATTTTTTCTGAAAAAACCGTATGTGTTCTACAAATGTTTTAGCCCCAGGGGATTTATGCTCTATCAACCCGAAAACGTTTATGACAATAAGGGTTCATCCGTGTTATTAAATCCACCCAAACCATGGAGTCGAGTTCGATTTAATCACGAACTTGCGGAGCTGCCCATTGGCATACACCCTTAAGGGAGGCTGCCTTGCTAATGCGTCCAAACTCTTAACCATGGTACCCTTTTGACACCAAAAGGCTTGACCATAGCGAAATATAGAACTTGAATCTAGGTTGCGAACTTTTCGTTGCATCATTGTAACTACATGCCCTATGTGTGTATATTTGATAGATTTGATCCTAACCTTAATGACCATTCTTTAGTGTTGGTTTATTTATGACTAACGAATTCCAACGGACCGTACTCACCTAGTAAAGCGCAAACTCTAAAATTGACAAACAACTGGAAAAACCTGCACAAACAAACCTAGAACTGACCACCGTGCCACGACAAAATTGCTGCGCCACGGCAGTCAGCGCCGTGTTATGGCAGTCTGTACCGCACCACGGTACGGATTGCCGTGCCTCAACAATTGTTACCGTGCCACGGTAACCAGGTTTAGGCCAGTCAGTCCCTATTTTGGTCTTCCGTGCTATTTTTGGTCCACGCATCAGTTGTTTTGATACTGTTTACATGTCTAACCATGCAATCATACCACAAGTCTTATAACATCACCTAATCACTCACGAGTCAAGTATATTCCACACACTTTCTTTATTTTTCGACTCGAGTCGTGCACCATGTCGTTTATGATCGTATACTAGGTTCATGCATGTGTCTCCCTTTTTCGTCACAAAAATGAGTGGAGTTTTTCTCACTTGTTTTCACAATTCTATCTTTCCCTCTTCCTTCCCTATTTTGATCAGTGAGTCAAACCATTAAGTAAATTTTCTTTATATCGCAGCACTTGGTCAAGAAGCAGGGGTAGATTGGTGTGGTTTGAGTCACTACCACGATAACCACTTAGACCTAAGAGGCATTCAAAGAAAACTTCACCATCTCCACATTAGTTATCACCTTCAAACTACTTTCAATTCATTCCAATGGCCACTAAAGAAGATATTGAGGGCATTCACAAGTCCATCGAGGCACTTTCTGCCATGATGCAAACACTTACCACCAAGGTCAATACCATGGAACAAACTAAAGTCATTATTGTTACAGTTGACAATATAAAAGAACACGTGAGCAAAATTTTTGAAGAGTTCACCTACATTGAACAACCTTCCACTCCTTTGGCTGTGAAGGATAAGCTCCCTGAAAAGTTCTCCACTTCTGACATTCCCAAGTTCAAACCCACTGACAATCCAATATTCCATTTGAAGGCCGACCATCTCTACAACCATGGCTCTCAAGGGATTGGACGTAACACTCTTCCCTACGGTGTTCCCTCTCTCCTAAGAGCCTACTTGCCAACAATGTTTTTATTCTCTAGATTCCAAATACACTACAACTTGGCAAGATGTCGCTGAAAGTTTCATGAATCGTGACAAGTGTAACATTCAAGCCAGAACTTCTAAATGTGAATTCTCCATTCTCTAACAGAAAGAGAATGAAGGCTTCACCGCTTATCCGAACAGGTGGAGGGAAACAGCTGCACTCTTAGTAGATCCTCCTAAAGAAAGAGAGATGGTTCGCCTCTTCATCCAGAACCTGACTTACAACTACAAACAACATCTTATGTTCTTACCTTTGGACACTTTTGAAGCTGTATATGACATTGGCATCAATATTAAGGATGAGCTAATAAAGACAGTTGGTAGTAATAACAACAATAAGACTTGGAAAAACAAGAAGGACGACCATCCTTCTTCTTCGTCTTCTAAGCCTGAAAATACTACCCACAATGTAAGCCAGATTGATCTTAACGAAGTTTTAGCTCTTGATGCTCCATTTCCCAAGAAAAGAAGAACCTACACTCCTTTGGGAATGACTTATGATGCTCCCTTTGATCGCCTCTACAGTCAAGGCTTGATTACACCCATTGGACCATTCCCAAAGCTAAAACCTAGAGAAAGGAGTGCCAAATGGAACCCTAATGCCCACTGCAAGTTCCACCAAGGAAGGGGTCACTATACTGAACAATGATGGAATCTGAAAGATGTCATTCAATATTTGATTGATGCAAATAAACTTCTTATCCCTCCAAGCGGCAAGAAGTGATGAAGACGATCAGTTCGTGCAAGATTTCATGATGTATTTTTTTTTTTCTTTCATTTTATCATTTCTCTTACCCCAATATATTTCCCTTTATTGAGCATTTTGTTAGTTTATTAACCATTTCCGTCAATAAAATGAGCATTTTTCCTTTACATCTTGATCATCTCTTTTTCACATCAAAAAAAAAAAAAATTTTATTGCCTAACCAAACACAAGGTACACTGATGATTAGAGGCACCTTTCACTAGGCGAAAAAACAAATTCCCCACCGGATCAAACCCCCCCTTTCCCACCGGTTTTGAACCGGATTATATTTGGGGGGTGCTAAAACCCCATAGATTTCGCACCGGTTCAAAACCGGTGGGAAAAAGGACTTTTAGCACCGGTTCTTAGGGAAAACCGGTGGCAAAAACTGACATTTCGCACCGGTTTTTTCTTAGAACTGGTGCCAAAAGTCCCCAAAAAAATTTAAAAAAAACATTTAGCACCGGTTCTTCGTATAAACCGGTGCCAAAAATGCCCAAAAAAATAAATTTTTTTTTTTTTTTGCTTTTTTTTTCACTAAAATTAGATATATAAACAATAACATATATATAAAGTTACAAAATTTACTTCTAATACTCCAAAAACCTGTTCTAATGAAGCATATAAACAGCAAACATCTAACTAAATTAAACAGCCCAAACTAAGCAGCTCAACAGGCTACAAAAATAACAAAACGCAGCACAACACCAAAGCAGCAGAGCAAGCACATCAACTCAGCATCACAGCACCCCAGAAACCGCAACACAGCACTGCAAAAAGAAGCAGACAGCAACACAGCAACACCAACACAGCAACGCATCACACCAACACAGGAAAACTCGACATCACAGCACAGCAGGCACAACACTGTAGCAGAAACAGCAGCTCATAGCAAGTTAGCAAAAGCAGCTGAGCAGACACAGCCCGACAGCTAACATCAACAGCACAGAAACAACTACACAGGAGTATTGATCTTTAGTCCTGAACTCTTGCTGAAGAGCAAGATGCTTTCATCCTTTACCTCTAACTGTTCGGCAGTTGATGCTATTCTGATAGTGAGAATAGTCAATCAATCTGCCTTGTAAAATAGGTAAGAATCCAACTTAACAAAAGAATCAGAGCTCTGACCAATGCCCCACAATATAAATAGGAAGATTATCTCAATACTAGAGTATGATTGCATGAAATTCAGAATTATGGAAATTATTATGAAAAGACTGCAGTAACATCCAGTTTACCAGAAAATCTAGACAGGAATTGACATACATACCGCATAAATTTGGAAAATTCGATGGCCTGATATAGATACTCCCCGAATGTACTGAAATCAGGGGGAACAAAAGTCAAATAGCTTTCAAAATCTTGAATAATCATTGAAGTTTTTACATTTATGGATAGCTCATATCACCATTGATGTGAATCAGATTTCAGTTTAGCAAATAACAACCACTTATAGCAATAAGACAGCTCACCAAGGTGAAGAAAAGAAGCAACATTATAAGGGGTATGCTTATTTCAACACAACTGCCAGCTTGAGGAAACCCGTAGCTGAAAAATGCTAAACCTACAGCAGCCATTGTTGGTGCAACCACAATTGGATTAATCAACCTGTAGTAGAAACATTCAAAACCTGTTGAATGAATATGAGAATAGTGAGAATAGTCAAAAACACTTGCTCCTACTATTGAGAAATCTGGAAATCCAGATTTAAAGAGAGATAGAGAAGTTTAGAGAGAGAAATCTATGGAAGTTTTTTTTTTCCTTATAATATAAGCAATCATCCTATTTTACAGTAAGGAAAAAGCAGGGGGTTTATAAATAAACTATGCAAAAGGACCTGCTTATGATATAAGCAATCATACTAGTTTTTAATGTATGAAGAACAAAATCTTTCTAGCAAGCTAACTAACAGAGGATCTGCTTATGTAGGTGAAATGGATCAGAGTTCTGTATTCAGACTTTGACGCATTCGTCAGAGAGCAAGAACAGCTCATAGCAGCAAAGGAAACATTTGATTACATTGAAGGTTTTGTCATAATAAACAGAACAGGTCTTCTAAATAACTGGAGAACATCTTTCAGTCCACAAGATCCAGTTCAAGCTAGTTGATTGTAAGAGGGCATTGTAGAGGATGATGACAAACAAAAATCATTCACATACTTTGTACACTGACCCTTTTCTTCATCGTGCCCGAACTTCTCAACATATGCATTATAAAGCTCAAAAACTGAGATTCAAATAAGCAGTGACAAGATTTTAACAGACAAACTCAATAAAAAATTTTCAGATTTTACATGGAGTAAAAATATAATAATGTGGGTATATTTAGAATATATATAATGTATGCAAGATGGTTTACCACTACTATGAAATTTTTTATCAAATATATAGTATCTTATAACATGAGCAAGTATCCATAAGGCAGAAGGATTTTGGAGCTAAAAGTATGCTGATTTTGTGATCTTACAAGTATGTGCAAGTCATTTTGAAGCTAGTTATATACAACAATTGCAGCCTATAAAGAGTATAAACAGTAAGTTTGTTGTAGAATAAGAGCTTTTGGTGGTGATTTACATGTTTGTTTGGAATTGCTTGTAACTATCTAGAATTGTCACACTATTTGTTGCATAATTAGTGTTAGATGTGCTTCTAACCAACTAACTAGTATTGCCACAACTCCTTGCTACCAAAAGACGTATAATGGTTCGATTGACCATACAAGTTGCTCCATAATTAGTGTCCCTTAATCTAATTTTCCTGCACATCTACAAGTTCTCTCTCATTTTCTCTTTAATATGTTGATGGTTTTACAAGTCATCACATAATATTTAGTTTCTCAAATTACTAAACTACTACACTGCAAATTATATAGGAAGTAGAAAACTTACTTTCTCTCTTCCTTTTTCTTTCTATCTCTTCCTCTACATATCTTTCTTTCTCCATATTAATTTCTCTTCCTCTAAGATATCCCCTGTGATCAGCATTCTGCAATCTTATTACTCTACCAAAACATCAGCAATTTCAAAAGAACCAAAGTGAGCTTTGTTAAGTGTTTTTTGCTAGGTATATATATTCTCCAACTTTCTATTATTCGAGAAAGATATAATGGAAGATTAAAACTTAATTATACTACAAATGCTTATGAACAAATGAAAGAATCGTCAATTTTGAAGAAATCTTAAACATTATTGTAATTTTAGATATATTTTCCATAATTTTCCACCTTAAGAAATCCATGTACGTTGTGCCCCCCCCCCCCCCACACACACACAAAAATAAAAAAAAAATAAAAAAAAAAACAGAAAAAGAAAGAAAATTAATAAGATTTTACAAATCAAATTTAGTACACCTTATTTCATAGAATGACCTTTAAGGGCTTTAAATATCACTGGATGTACGGCTAAATATATTATGACTGTCTCATAGTGTCTCTACCCTATCCACAATGCCATGTACCTTTACTAGTTCTCTTAAAGGTGGACTTCATGGACATACACTAAAGCACGTACGAGTACTTGAGTAACAATTACTTGGAGGTGTTGTTTATGTGATGGGGAGGGAAATATGAACAAGTTGTTTGTATCCAACAGAGCTAGCACCTCGAATTAGAATGTGAGACTTTTATATAATTATCAGTAACAATAAAACAATACCAAAGCCTTATTTCCTCGACTGGTTACCGTTATGATTAAGATGCATAAAATAAAAATCTGTATGTTAAAAACTGCCAAGGACTCCTATAAAAACCAAAGAAAAAAAAAAAAAAAAAGCTGATAACTTACCCGAATAATCTTATAATATCCTGCAAATAGAGTACAAGATCTAATATCCAAGCCTATGCAGCTGTACCACCACCAGATTCAGAATTCAAGCCTGTAAGTGTTGAACCTTCTAATATGATTTGAACTGAGAATCAATATTGTCAATACAGACTCAGAAGCTGCACCTGTGCTCCAAGAAGAGAGGGGGGGGGGAAAGCTTGAGTAAACAACAGTTTTCAGATAAAGCAGAGATGTTATACTGTAAAAAATAGGCAACTTAAGGCCCCGTTTTGGTTTGATGTATTATATTTTCAATAAAAAAACTAGTTTTAATGAAAAACATATTTTCAAGGAAAACCACACTTGCAAGATAGTTTTCCTTTGTTTCGTTCTTATAAGAAAAATTAAGAGAAATTAAAAATAGGAATGGAAACGTGGAGATGGATGAGAGAAAAATAAAAAGGAGATAAAGGAAAGGGAGGAAAATGTGGCTTCTCATGTTTTATAAAGAAAAATGTTTTCCACTATTATGGATGCAATTTTCCACCATTTGGAATATTATTTTCCACCTCTTCACAAATCAAACAAAGGAAAATGGGAAACTCATTTTCCATGAAAACATTTTACATCAAACTAAACAGGGCCTAAATGTGTTTCTTTCAAGAAAAAAGATATATGTGATTCTGTGAAGAGCTTGTTCTGACAGAGGATGTAAAGATCATGATAACATATAAATGCTCGGAAACACTGAAGACATAGCTAAAATATACCTGCATAATTAAGGGTTGCAGCAGTCCAATATTGCAATTGCACTCTAGCTATCATATCTATTTCACAATAAGCACATGGAAGTCACAAACCTCACAATTGGGGTTTAGAATCGACTATTGCCATTATCACCAATTATAGGCTAAAACCACGATCAGTACTGTAGAAAATAAGTGATAATACAACACAATGGGAAATAGATAAGGTAATGACTATACTGAAAGACGACGGGGCACATCTAGTAGTGATAGTATAATGGACTAAGATAAAGTCAGTTAAATTGCTGAACAAATTGCAAACCCACAGTATTTGCCCTTTCCATCATAATTGCTACATAGTGCATATATTGCCCTTTTAACAAAAAGGCCAATTTTCACGACTCACGAAGCCCTTTGTCATGGTCTCACGGTGCTTTGTGATGCACAGCTTTACTACTCATAGCTACATTTAGCAACAAGTAAACTCTCGTGCAAGTCTTACGATTATATTTGTGATTCCAAAATTTTACTTGAATTCCCTAACTACATGCAGTCTCTAACTTAGGTTTCTGAAGCAGAAAATTTTCCTCATAACTAACCAACCACTCCATGACCTTATGCATAGAAATGAGGTGCCTTACAGTCCAAAGAACATAATTTGTTGTATCCTCTGAAAAAGCTCTGGAATGCCATTTTAATTTCATCACTAGATTTGCACAAAATCACGTGATTAATTCAAAATTGAATTATTCATAATTTGTTTTTCACAGTTGAATATCTTTCTCGATTTTTTTTTTGTTTATTAGGATAATTGTAGCTACTATAACTAACACATTTTATAATGTATGTGTATATTGTATGATTGTAATGTTAATAAGAAAAAGACATAAAGCAAAGTAAAGAAGTTAGAAGCGGAAGGTAGGACTATATAGTATATAGCAAGAATTTAACTTAGTTCTGCAAAATTTTCAACATATACAATAACAAGAGTTCACAAATTATATATTAACAACAATAATGTATGTACATAAATTGAAAGAGACCTGACGAAATTGAATTGCATGACATTCTTCCAATCAACCCTTAATTGGAAATCCCTTAATTTCTTCCAATTAACAGCCTTGAGAAATTAGAAAACCCTTAATTTCTTCCAATTAACCTCAATTGGCAAAAATTACTCAAACATAGAACAAATTCACGAGTAAATCCATGAAAAATCAATCCAATAACACAACCATATTCGACAACCCTAAAACAACAACAACAAAATCAACCAAAAATTCATCAATCGCAAAGAAGATCAAAATCAAGAACAGCTAAAAAAAACAAAATTAAAACCGAAAGGAAGCGAAATCGAAGCAAACCAGGAGCAGGTTCAATGGAGGTGAGAAAGCTCGGATTCAACTTCAATGGAGAATATAGAGCACGATTCAATGAAGGCGGAGGTGCTGCTTCAATGGAGTGAGAAGGCGGAGGTGCAGCTTCAATGGAGTGAGAAAGCTAGGGAAATTCGGGATTGTGGATGGAGAACGAAGGCGAATACGAGAGGGAAAGTAAAAGTACAGAAGAAAGAAAGAAAGAAAGAAGAAAAGCAGCCCGGTTTTTTTTTTTTATATTTTGTAATTCGCACCGGTTTGAACCGGTGCGAAAAATATGATTTCCCACCGGTTTATTAGGAACCGGTGGGAAAAGTATTTTTCCCAATCCCTCCCATTTCTTTTCCCACCGGTTTTCAAGAACCGGTGCAAAAAGTGCGCTGCGCAATTCATTTTTTCTACTAGTGTTTGCAACCCATTAATCCCATTAACCATTCAATCACTTTTCCATTTCATCATTAACCACTTTGAGCCTCGTCTAATGTTGGCCTTCATTTCTTCAACCCATATTCACTTAACCTTGAGATGGGAAGATGTGTAGCTTATGTAAAATTCAAAAGCATGTTCCAAAAAAAAACAAAAAAAAGTGTTTTAATGCCTTTGATATGAATACGCCTCGAATTGTGTCTCTCATCGAGTGCTTAGTAGCATTCCTGAGAAGCATGAATGCTAAGTGAGTGATGGACCGCATGATTCGAGATTGCCCACACTGATTCAAAAGAATGAAAAAGAAAAAAGAAAAAAATTTCAAAAAAAAAAAAGTGTAAA